TGATATGGTTCTGGTCGGGAGAGACAGAGATAATAAGAAAGGAGGGGGAGTTGCTATATACTTTGATAGGCAACTTAAATGTGTGCTCGCAGCGGACTTACCACTTATTGAGCTCCCAGACTCCATATGGTGTCATTTCACCGTAGGCCACACCAAGCACTTACTGGGTGGCATCTACAGATCTCCCACCTGTGGGGTAGAGCACAATCAGCTACTGCTCAGCACTATCACAGGGATACGAGATTTAGGCTACGAACAAATCACCATAGCTGGAGATTTCAAAGCTTCATCACTGAACCGTGGCTCGGGGTATCCTAAGGGAAAATTCGGCCAAAACCTACTGCAAACTATTCGAAACACGGGACTGACTGAGAATGTTGGAGATGACACTAGGTGGGGCTTTAGTGGAAAGTCATCAAAACTAGACTATATTCTAACTAGTGACCAACTACTCATCGAAAAGGTCCAGATCATGACTCCTCTAGGAAGTAGTGACCATGCAGTCATAGGTTTCGATCTTGTTCTCCGTAAGCGTTTGCAGTGGGATGTTACGCGACCATGTCTGTGTTACAGCAAGGCTGACTATGCTGAAATGCGGAGGCTCTTGTCCGACGCAGACTGGCCCTTAGCATGGGACGACCTATCTGTGGATGAACACCGGGAGGTGGTAAAAAAGATTATCCATACAGCAATCTCGGATATCGTCCATTTAGTCACAACACAGCCCAAGAGAAAGACGTCATGGTTGAAGAGAGGCACGCAACGTATTCTGCAAGCCGAGCGGAAGGCTTGGTATACGCGGCGCGTATCTAAGGATCAGACCCACCACGATGCATACCTGAGACTCAGGAACCGGGGCAATGCAAGAGTCAAAAGAGACAGGAGGTCATTCCAGGCTAACCTTGCCAAAAATCTCCTAGCAAACCCCAAACCGATTCACGTCGGAGAGAAAACCGACAAACCATGGGGCATTCGCCTTAGTAGGCCCAAACGGTCAATATCTCACTAGTCTGGAGATGGCTGAAACATTCAGTTCAGCCTTCGACAAACAGCCAAACAGCAATGTAGGTACTACAGTTACGGATGAAAACGGTGGCACCACTACTTCACAGGAGGAAGACCTAGTGGCTACTCTCCAGATAAACCCAGCTATAGTACTCACACCTGGGAAGTCCCCAGGTTAGGTATAGATGAACCACTTCTGTCATGGTCAAAGGACTACCTAGCCGACAGGCAATTTTGCACTAAGGTCAATCAAGTCCTATCATCTTGGCGCAGCTCGTCATCAGGAGTGTCGCAGGGTTCTATCCTAGGACCACTGATGTTTTTGATTTTCATCAATGATCTACCACGCCGTCTAGGCTGCCCGACTCTCCTATACGCTGACGACGTAAAGATATGGAGGGCAATAAAGTGTCCGGAGGACTCGGATAGGCTGCAGGAAAATCTAAACCTTCTGGAAGACTGAGCGGTGGCCAGTGGCATGACTTTCAACCAGAAAAAGTGCAAGGTAGTGAAGTTCCGCACCTGTATACTGCAGAATGCAAGTTACACCCTGTGCAATGAAAGCTTGTCCTGCACAACGTCGGAACGCGACTTAGGTATAGTTCTAACGGAAAACATGGACACAAGCGTAAATTACACAGGGGATGTAGCGAGGGCATATGCGGTTGTACACTTTACGCATAGACAGTTAGGTGCACTCACTCCTGAGCTCTTTCTAATGTTGTACAAAACATACGTCAGGCCACACCTTGAGGTGCATAATATTATTGCCCCCCCAATGCTTAGAAGAGACGCCAACCTCTTGGAAAGAGTCCAACGACGGTCAACAAAAGGAGTGGTTGGTCTCTGAAACAAACCATATGATGAAAGGCTGAAGAAATTAGGCCTGTTCACACTTAGTTACCGTCAGCTTAGGGGGGATTTGATTACTGCCTGCAAAATAACAAATGACCAGAATCACCCAAACAAAGGTGTTCTGCCATTGAGTAGGTATAGGCTCCCATGTGGAAATCCCAGAAGGATAGCTCACCAAAGGGCACGGACCCGGGTGCGCTCCCACTTCTTTTCACTGCGGGTTTGCCGTCCCTGGAATTCCTTACCGGCAGATGTAACTATGGCACTGTCTGTGGACACCTTTCAGCGAAGGCTGGACAATCATGCAATGACACAAGGACTGCATCCAAATGGCCTATCTCCTTAAAATCGCATACACCATTCAGGGGTAGACAATTAAACTCGTCGTTTTACTTCTTTACATTCTCTCCCGTCTCACTATCCTGACAACTTTAACTACACTTATTATTATTATCATTATTACCGATATATATATATATTATTCATATTATTCTTCAAATTTAATGAGCTGACTGTTGTTACGCTTTCATATTTCCTTTTCTGTCTGTTTGTCTGAATAACTTCACTAATTATATCTAATATTGTTATTACTATCTCTTTTCTTTTGTCGACGATACCGAAGGACTAACTGGCGAAAGGATCAACTCCAACCACAGTAGTAACAGTCTTAACACACCTCATACTACAAACCACATATAATTAATCCCAGCGCTACTCCCTTTGGAGTCAACCAAAGCTACGACAGTCGAGTGGCGGGACAAGCTACGCAGAAGTTTACCGAAGATCAGGAACCTATACCTTACAATCAAGAAGCTAGCACAAAGAAATCAAACTGGTTTATACTAGCTCGTAAAAACGATATTGGATATTGGAACGCAAATGTGTTATAAAACGAATGGCAAGTCGGACATTGATCGACCAACTAAGTATAAGATAATATATTAATTTAATTACTCAGCAGCTTGAGCATGTGATTCACACTTGGTTACTGTCAGTACACCAGAAAATGTCCACATATAACGTCATTATAATGTAATAATATAATATATTCTCATATTTTGTACATGAGGGACGCCAGTTTACAGGCATCATCAATTCGATAAATTAAACATGCAATGAGTAAGCACAGTTAGTAAAGATAATATAATAAGGTATATATTTTTTCCTAGCTATGTAGGATACATCTAGGCACATTGCTCTGGTCTCTGTCAACGAACAGGCGTCTAAGCCATGACACGGACTGTCACCTCCAACCAATATGAAGCTCAATAACTTCCACTCATTTTTCATTGTAATTGATAGTTTCGTTGCGGTTTTATCCGCAGTGCTTTTATAATCAGTAGATCTGGATTAAATTTACCGAAAGATTTTACAAAAATCTTAACACTGCATCTAAATCCAAAAGATGGTAATCCAAAGCAAATATTACTTATGTGCATACTCGAACTGCTGAAAGTAAATTACCTTGGGAATAATGGGCTTTTCACTAATACAGAAACATCGGGAAGGGTAAACAGTCCTTCATCATTCTGAAGTCAGAGTAGAAGTTCGCTGCACTCAGAATAAAAAAATATATGAACTTTCCAGAACAGTGTCAAGTCACTTCATCTGCGTACCTCAGATGCTAGGCGTGCGCGTCACTAAAGAATTTCCATTAGGCTAGTGCAGGCTGTTACCACGACCTGCCTTCACTCTATGCTGGACATGAGGTGAATAGTGAGGATTAGCGACAAGGAACTCTGGCACTGGACCAGATAAGAGCCTATCGCCCGAATAATGCATCGATGGAAATGGAAGTGGAGAGGACAAATACTTAGGACAATGTTGGGTGGAGTCAGGAGCCGGGCATGGAGGGAGACTTATGGTGAGGCGATGGCAGCTTGTGTGCAATCATTGAGCCAGCTAAATGAGACTTCAGATAACAGGGTGAAGTGGTGATGTGCTGCTAAGGACTGATGTCTTTATTAGAACCCAAGGGGCTAGCACAAATAATAAACTTCCGTGCTGTCCGACACGTTACTCCGCGTATTTGCGACCCGTATGAGTCCGCGGCTACAGGCGAAAAATTAGTGATATGTGCACGGTGTTAACACGAACTTGAGAAACGTGTCAGACACACATTTTCATCATACACTTGTCACTGCACCATCATCTGGAACACTAAGTCTCCTTATGCTTCTGACAAAAGCATTTTGAGGTGCTATGGAAACCACATATTAAGTAGCGTACAATTCATCTCTCTTATTTCTTTTTGTTGAGCAATGGAGGAGAATTGATGCGGTTACTGTCAAACTAAGAATCTACCCGTAGCACATCATTCCTACAAAGTAGTGCTCAGGAAACTGCTTAGCACATAATTCGAATAATTGTTCATATCTCATTCTCAAACATTAATTTCATATCATTGAAGTGTAGGAGGACATTTTTCGATATCACGGGAATTTAAGCATACTATATTTACCTGATTTTGAGGGTGTCACGTTTCACAAACGCATTAGTTGGCGAAGGCTAATGCTGAATAAAGACACAGGCTTGTAGCAAATAAAAATAACGAACACCAAAAGTTAGTGAACGATGACAGACTCTCTGCGTGATATTCTCCGAAACAGAGTACAGAAGAAACTCAAACATAATCACCATTATTGAAGAAAGAATTTTATAGGCTGTCAAACTTAACAAGTAATCAATGTGCCTTCCTGTTAACTTAAAGATGCCTGATTCGACAGGTCGTTTGCCAACAGTATCCTAAGTTATATAGAGGCAAATACGAGCATTCTGTGACTGAAACCATTAAGTAACAGAAATTGAAATTTATCAAGTCTTAAATGACCAAATCAACATGAACGAGTCTTTTATCCCCAAGTAGGAAGTATAGTGAACTTACCACCTTAGGATTAGTGGATAAATTTACTATATTGAAGGCCACCAACTGCTTTAAAATGTCCCTGCTACCTGTGCAACTGGGGCTGGATATAAATAGCTTTTCGGCAGTTAATTTTACTTTTGTTGCTAATTTAGTGACAGTTTGTTTTAACCATTTTTCGGGTTGAGTGCCGATTGGACGCTCTCGTTTGGCACTATTTCGGAACTGTGGCGTACAGTAAATCTGCTTGTGTTATTACTCATTATTACGGAACATAATGCAGTGTAAACTCTGTAAGTTTATATTCATGTCTTTATTTGGCAACAGCACCAGAGTCAAATGACGTTGCGTCTACCAATTGTATTTTTCCAGGTGAAAAGTGTCATCTATTTTACAAAAAGTGTATTTGTATGACTTATAAGTAATGAAAATGAATTATACAGGATGTACGTCTCCAAGATACCGTAAAATCTGGTCCCGGATTTTCATGGGAGCTCGTATACATATCAAACCAATGTCGATAAAAAATTAATCTAAGCGGCTCTATAACATCATATCGGGAGCTACATACTATCATGATACTTTTTTGGATGGACCCAGAATCCTTCAATAGAATTTGTATGAGTTCCACTTATAGGATATACTAATCCAGAAGTATGATTAACTTTATGACGAACGTAGTCTAATGATGTCCGTCGGTGGAACATCGGTTAAGACTTTAAAGTCCGCGGTTCGATCCCCTGCCGATGCACACCTGATATCAATGGTCAGCCTGAAAAATTTGGGCTACCGATATCCATGCTGAAAATTCCATACTTGTACCTAAAATACGGTGTGAAATCAAGCTATTATCAGAAAAATATAAAAATTTGTGAATAACCTGTCCACCCGAGTGTATGAATGGTAGCGCCCAGGAGAACTAGTCGTTGTATTATCCCTATTAAAAAATCTAGATGAAATTTGCAACGAGAACTATGAACAACATTCATGTGTAATGTGCAGTCATCTTATTGGCTGATTCAAGATTATTTAGCTGTGGTGTCTACTGCTTACTGTTGCCATTTATTTGTTCAGTTTTCATGGTTTTGTCAGAAATTTCCTCGGAATTTGCAGAAATGTACAGAAAAAACATGATGTAGTTCCACATATGTTTCATTTTTAACTAAATAGCTCAGTTCAGATACATTAGTTTACTTTGAAGTGTTAACGATATGACCGGTAGACTGGAGCGTATATGGTAGCAGTATCTATTCTTTAGAGCTGCCTGATATTTTTGCATGTTCCTTATGGTGTTTAAGTAGCCTCCTCTAAATATTGTTATCTTATCACCTCAGGAATTGATAGAAAACATCACTAGTTGGGAAATGTGCGATATTTAATATTTCGTGGCAGTTACTCAGTTTAGGAAGTTTTCGTGAGCATTAGTAAAGTATGGTAAGACGTTCTCTTCAAAAAGTCGGGAGTGAGAAAATTCGGAGTATTTCTTGGTTGTAAAGGTAGTAGGAAGAAATTCTTAAGGGATGTGGCAATTGTGAAAGCAGAAGGAGGAAGAAGAATTGTTGACACCAACGTAGGGGGAATTTAAAAAAACTTGAAAAACGTTAGGGAGGTGGGTTTTTAAGGTTTCATTTCGCTCATTGAATAAATCACCTGTTAACCTCATATTTGGTTCTTTTTCCGAATTCGCATTCTGTGACTGGATACTAAGGTCACGGCAATTACTAGTTACTATTTCCGATCAGATGATTTAGATACTTACTTACAAAGCTGCTACCGTGGCAGGCGAACGGTATGCAAACTTGATGACTCATCAAATGACCTTGTAAACCAGCCTGAATAGTGGGTAGAAGAAATCATTACTGAATACGAAAATATCTTAAGGATGAATATATTAATAAAAATGAATTAAATCAGTGTAGCAATCTTTAAAATGTTGTCATATGTTGATTTTGACAAGTGAATATCTAATGTGTTCCTAATCTCATAACTCTTGCCCTGCCCTTAACATAACCCTTAGTTTAAGGCATAATCTAACGATAATTTTGATGTTAACGGTAACGTTTTTCCTATGCTAACCATGATTTAACCCTAGACCCTGAAATTTACTTAACACTAACCACAACGAAGTCATTGTCGTTCATCCTAAATTTAATTCTCAATAGAAGTAGGTCACGACGAAACTGCAGAGTTTACCTCGTGGTTAGTATAGATGCCAAATGAAAAACATTTGTATAACATTACGATTATTTGCTGACATTTGTTATGACAGACTTATTATTCTGGACGTCGTCGATTTTTATTATGAAAATTACTTTCTTATTTTAGGCACTCACTCGGAATATCCCCGTACTTACTGCAAAGTGTACAAACCAGACTTGTCAGAACCATTTGTGTGTCCACATCTAAATAGGCAGTCAGTCATATCTGATCTCAAGGTTGGTACCTTTTGGTTGATTTTATGGTTGGTGTGAAAATACAAATTTAAACTAACTCGGTTTTACAAAACATCTTAAATTTCGTTTGTAAGTTCAGTGTGCTTTTAATCTTGTGTTTAAACCACCCAGGTGAGTGAAGTTTATGGATCATTTATTTGTTGTGCAGACTCGTAAATCCTGTGCTGATAGTTTCCACGTTTATTTCATTAAAATTATTTGAAGTTATAGTTTAATTCCCGTACCTGATAAAGTCGACAACCAACTACTGTTTTTCAGCATCTTTTAAAGGTATCATTTTTTTTCAATATAGGAGCTGTTCCTGATTCGAACTGAGACCAGATTTCGTTCGTCAACCCATCGCATGGCGGACAAGCATACCAATGAGTCGTAATACTAATTAACGGTTGTTGTGATCAAAATGGTGCCAAATTCTCTTAGTGGCATTTTCTGGATGGAACATACTTGTCTGTAGTAGTGTTAGTTAATCCTGTCTCAGTGGATATGTGGTTCATTGACTTCAGCTGTTGACTTACACCGTTCTGAGTTCGGGTTCTATTCTTGCTCCATTCACTTCAGTCTGAGCGACTGGGTAGTATTATTACCTCATGCAATCATTATGGCTCGTGGCCCAGTGCTTGAGAAATGTGTTTCGGTTAACTGCATGCTAACTAATTAGTCGATTTTACCTCGACATCATTCTGTAATGTTTTTATTTCGTTGCAAATGAAGCATACTAATTAAGCAAACGAGTGATAGCATCATTTGGTTCAGTGTGAATAGTATATCGAAGTGTAGTTGCCCTCATGTTTCTATACTATCCTGTTATTGTGGTTCCTTCTGTAAAAATGTACAACATAGCTAACACTTAACAAGTCTGTTTTTCCATATCCTAATGAAAAGTATGTGTGAAATGGTTTCAGATATCGTGTTTGTGGGAATTCAGTTGACTGCACTGTAGATTTTATCGCGGGCCTATGTCATTTGAAGAACCATTAAAGCAGCTGTGTAATGCTCTCGAGTTTTTAATGGTTCTATAACTGGTGGAAATTGTTGAAGAAGTCTACCATAAAATGACTGAGTATTGTACTTCGTAACTGATCAGATGTGAGCATTAGATCTATTATTATTATTTCAGACAGGTGCCCGAAAATCACCCTTCACAAATCGATGTACTGCGAAATTTTCTGATGTACGCACTATGAAGGACTTATTTGAAAAAGGTCTACAGATTTCACGTAAGTCTTTCTCTGGAACTTTTTCTCGGACCTTTAAACCTTTGTACAACAACTTTCTGAAACCTCCCGGTATTTATACGTATGGGTACTGGAGGAAAGGGCATTTACACTTGGCTTAAAAAAGGAAGCAAAAATATTTGTTTAGTTTGTCTATGGTAGTATTGACAGTGGTTTTATAATCAGCAGACCTAAATTGAATATACTGGGAAATTTTCACAAAAAATGCTGTTAATATTGTAAATAAATCCAACAGACATGGTAATCCAAAACGAATGTTATTTATGTTCGTACTCAAACTCCTGGAAGTAAGTTACTATATCCTTTATGTCGTCTAACATATGTTCATTGGTGTGGGTGGTGACATACAATATGTCTCTGTAACCTAGCACCTAGTAGATTTAATAAATAATAAATAAATAAGTAAATAAGGAATTCTGTCCCAATAGTATACAATGGAATCGTATTAGAATAAAGCAACAACAACAGTTTTTGCAGAAGAAAATGGTACCATCATTTATTTCGTTGAAATCGTATTACGTCAAGATATTTTATTATTTTGACTAACGTACAACTAGCTCTCATTGTTTACTTTTCTCTGACAGGTTTTCAGCCTTGTTTGGGAAGACGCTATAGTTTTGACGAGTCTTACGCGTGGTTGCAGTATATAGAAGTGAGCTCCGCTAACGAAACCTACTTAATGTTTTTCTAGGTTGATGATAAAATACAGGCTTTCGGATCGGCCCTGGTGAAAGTTGCTGGTCATATTCCGTGGGGCGACAATTGTGTTGGTATTTATGGGCGTAATTCACCTGAGGTAAGTTTTCCACATTCTAAATGCTTTCCTCGACTATTTTTGTGGTCACCTCATTTTACTTTTCGGTCTACATGTACCTGAAGATCCGAGTGATGAATTTCACTTTACTTAACGTCAACCGATGTCTTAATAAGATTAAATTTCTTGTTTTATTCTAAAGTGCCATTCTTGTGAATTAAGCAGGCTTTCTGACCTCATGTATTTTTAGTTTAACTCAAACCTTAAAACGCAACATACATTATTACTGAGTAAAAATACTCGACGTTGTTGACTCGCATTTACGGTATAGTTCATTAAGAAAGTTCTATGCGTTTTGCGAAACCACTTATTTTTCAGTAGATATCAGAAACTCCCGGGGAATAAGGTCGTAAACAATATATTGAACATATTCTTCTGGGGTTATATTTTAACTCATATTCAACATTAGTAGACGGCTATAGAGATACCTAATATTTGCTTGTCTTATATTATGAAACAGCATGATCTTTAGTTTGTTCACATGACATTTTAATTAGCCATTGAATGCTTGTTCCCCTTTTTGTACAACACTATGATTTGGTAATTTCCGTGGTTATTATCACTTCAGACACACACAGATACACACTGTTTCAGTAGGGTAGTTAGCTGAAAGGCATAGTGAATCTCAGGTAATACTGAATAATATGAACACTCATTTGTTCATAAGCAGCACATGTTTTTATGGTAAACTTTGACACAGTTGGAAATTATTTTAAATTGTAGATGGAAGGTAAAATAAAATGGATTCCTACGTGTTAAGCTGTGTAACATGGACTCCCAGGTCCATTCAACTCTCGTCGTAATCCATCTCCATTTTCCCTGAATTGTGTGACTTTACAAAGTGTCGCAACTTTGACTGCTTTATCTTTCCCCCACAAAGTTCTTTGCTGAACTTTCAGTCAGGCATATGACTGATTAGTATGATGAACCGAAATAACTGTCTTAGTTTATCGAATCAGAACAGAGATGTAATCCGTAAGTGTGGTATATTTCTGTGCTCTTTTTTCTTTGCATTGCGAATAGAACATTACACTTCAAGCTTTAAAGTCTCGGTAGTGATGATGTTGGTTTTACGAGTTGAGGTTACTAGCCTCGCCAATGTTTTGGTGTTAGCAGTTTATGGTATTGGACAGTGCATTGTATTTTAAAATTTGTTGATGCGTCTGTGTTGTATGTAACTGTATGGAGATCGACAGCTTCCTTCACCAACGTTTCATTTCAATTAAACAATAGAGTGACTTGAGTAAAAGTTCCTAGATGTCATGTTAAATATTTCCTAGCGTACACAAGGTGTACTCTTATTTGTTCAGCTAAAACACTTTTTCACATTTTGAATTCAAGTCTCATCAGTTTCATTTTTTCATTAGTGGTTTATCACTCAACACGCTTGCGCGGCGTATGGCTTTCCCATTGTTCCAATTTATCCAACTTTGGGCGATGAAGCAATGCAACATATTCTTAAACAAAGTGAGTAGTGTCTTTGTTTTCTCCGCTTTTATTATACTTAGCTGTACAATTGTTGTTAGATAAAGTTGAATTTAGAAAACTACTAGTATTTATCTTGTATTTGTTATTGTGCAATAGATACATTGCCTGCTGTTTTACTGCGTAACTAACGAGTCCCATTGTCCCTTTAATATGAAATCGTTATCTTTTGTGCAAACGCAAACGCCTGGAAACGCCATCTAGGTATCTTCAGTAGGTTGTTGGCGACACAGTCTTGTCATCTAGGAATTTTCGGATTTAAATTTGTAACTTAGAGGGAAGTGATGTTCGGTGGCAAATCAACAGCTTTGAAAGCGTATTACTGTACCAGCTTCATGTGAAAGTTGCATACAGATTCAGTGACCAGTAATTATGTCTTACATCTTATAACTTTAGCTGAGTCTCCGTGAAATACCTTCAGAAGGGGTTTTCATAATTATTAATATTATTTGATTATGTTAATTCATCATAATAAACTCTCTGCAAAAACTGTACAATAAGAACACCCAGCATGAGACAATTATTCATTTTACTATGCACAAGTAGTATTATGCTTCCCATAGTCAAAAGGCAAACGTAAGTATCCCACAAAGTTTTTATTGATTAGTTCCATGAATCTAGTTTTGCCGAATAATTTTCCATTGAACAAAATCCTATTACCCCTTGGTATGGTTCACCTCTGTCAGATTTAAGATGATATTGAGAAACTGGTCTCCATCGTCTCCTGTCTAAAGATAGGGAGTGAATTGGTTAAATGTGTTGACCACTCCACATATTCGGTTAATTGTATCAGCCCTAATGGACTGGTTGTTGACGAATTCTCATTGCAGATACAAAAGTTGGTGCGGTACTTGTTGGCTAGTGTCATCTTTATCGTTAGTGTGATATTTGGCTGTCCATCAAAGGTCGTATATACTGTTCAAAAGTTAGCTTCATCATATTGTTACGGATGCGAGACATGACACTTAAAATTGGAAGATTTGGAAGGATGAGCGATTTCGACTGTCGGTAGCTCTATGAAATCACTCATTTCTGCTGGACAAATATAGTCGATAATAAAGTTAGGTCTAGAGCCTGAGGTAAGCTGCGAAACTCAGTCAAAAAGGTTGTGAGGTGCTTTCAACTGAGATGGGTAAAATGTACCTGACACATCTTGAGTAACCGCTCTCCTTGATAAGCTGTGTTGGAGGGAACCGGACTGCGTTGGAAAATAGTTGGAAGTGGGTCAGACGAGAACCTGACACCAACCCATGAAGTCTTTGACTGACTGTTAATTTGGCCCGCGGTGTCGACTCCCTGTGATCCATAGGGCGTTATGAATCAATGGTTGTAGAGTGTTTGTGACATGGCTCAAAGTCTTTGACAATGTCGCAGATGTATTTACTCCTTGTCATCATCCAGACTCTGGAAATCCTCTCTAGTCTTTGATGAGTTATTCTCCCTCCCGTAAACCTTTGTTTATTGTTGTTTCACTTCATTTGGTTCATCTAGCTTTATGTTTCTTCTTTTAAGTGTGGTTATTTGAAGTTATGGTTATTCTGGGTTTAGAATTCAGGGATTTGGATAGACTTACATTTATAAGAGACCACGCACCTGTGTTATTTCTAATAGTCGTTCATGTTAATGTTTGGTGCCCTTCTTGTTCTTTTGTTTTGTGAATTGTCACTACACTTTTGTGCGATTTCATCCATAGGGTAATTGATTCTATTTACAGTTCTATTCCATGGTTTTAGGGGTAAACCCTATCTAACTATTTGTTGGAAGCAGTGTCAGTATTTAAACATACTGATAATTGTATTTTTTTTATGAGTTGATCACGGACTGATATCAGTTAGAGAAGCACTGAAAACCAGGGAGTACTGGACAGCTGCTGTTTCATCCTAGTTTGGGATGAAACCCACTGGGATCTTAGTGTGACATTTTGTTAACAGTAGTATGTTACCGGATGATTATCTTGAAATTGATTGTGTATTCATTTTGTGTCGATAATGGAATCTGTTGTAATATATGGATGTGTAGCAGGCTTTTTCATTTTTTCGTCAAGTAATGCGTTTATTACTGATTTTATATGCCGTGAATAAGTGCTTCATTTGACGTGAATATGTAAGTCATAACTATACCCACCCTATTTCCAACGAATGAGATACCGATTAGCATCATGTTCCACCCAGTGGAATTTGCTCAGCTACGTGATACATGTGATTTCGCATCACATGAGAGTCGTTTGATTGTGGAATACACGGGATTACATGTGCCTATTAAAAATGCTTAGTTTTTCATCATCTCCTACCCTGAATATTTTATTCGTTCCCTTTCGCTTCAGAATTGCTTTACTTTGCATAAGCAGCGTCAGTATCTGTTATAACTGTAGGGAATTAAATGAGGACGTTGTCGCCTTGTTCTGTCTGCGCCTGACTAGTATGCCTATCTGCTTGTCATACCTTCCGATTCAGTGAAGCATGTAAATATCAAAAGACAAAGACTGGACTGTGACTGTGTATTGTAGTACAACAACAACGACAAAGAAAGTCATGGTATTTATACATTTTACAACAATATAGACAGCCAACAGCATTTGAAATAATTGATCGTGATAGTCAATAACAAAGTGCGTGAGAAATGATAATATACCATGTATGCGAGATTAACAGTCAATAACAAAATGTGTGGGAATGATGATATACCATATATGCGAGATTAACAGTCAATACCAAAATGCGTGGGATCCTATCACCTCTCCCCGTAAAAAGTGTAGGACTTGCTTTTTGGATCTATTTGAAAAGGTTTCGGAGCTCTTCTTTGTCGAGTTGACCTTCGCGTGGTACTGGATAGAGTGTGATCTGTGTCCCGGGCTTCCGGCTGCGGAAGATTAAATGTATCTACTAATACTTCTAACGTGAGGTCTCGTCTCCCATTGTCGGGTCTATCTGACGCATCTCGTATATGATTCGTGTGTCTGACACATAACTGTCCTTCTACATTCACTTTGTATAAAACCCTTCCTTTCTGCCCCACTATTTGTCCTCGAATCCATCTCGGAGGTGAATAGCGAAAATCTCGTACATAAACTTGCTGATACAATTTGAAAACTCGACGTTTAGCTCCGTGATGGCGATTGAATTGGTTTTCCATTTTTGTATTTCTGCAGCCCTGCTTTACTTGCCTAGGCTTAATTGAGTCGAGGGCAGTTCTGATCTTCCGGCCAAACATAATTTCCGCTGGGGATAACTGATTTGGGGCGGAAGGATTTGGCGTCGTACGATAATGCAGCAAGAATCTATCCAAAATTTCTTCTGTTGTCCCCTCCCCCTTCGCTTTTGCATAAGCACGCTTAAAGGTGTCGACGAAACGTTCAGCCTGTCCATTCGATTGGGGATGATACGGGGGGCTACGAATATGCTGGATGCCAAACAGTTTGCAGCAACCAAGTTTGTCCTGGAAGACAGAAGCGTGCTTTTGACGCAGGCGTTGCAAGAGAGATTGATCAGATACATGTCCGGGAACAACGTTGTGTGGTGAGGACGAAACATTAGAGCATACTGAATTTAATGGTACATTGAAGATATGGAGCTTGTCTAACCAGTCAAGACCAAGCAAATTCAAATCATGGTAGTTTGTGACGTAACATACACCATTGAACTGATGCTCACCAAACTGAACCTGGCAATTTATCTCACCCACGAGTTTCAGTATATCTCCAGAGACATTCTTGGCGACATGCTCGGTCGGCAGAATCTGTGGGCACCAAGTTTGCGCCACGTAGTTCGGGAAATTAAGGTGATATCTGATGCCGTATCCAACTGAAGACGAATATGTTTGCCGTTAATACCTAGTGTAATGTACTTACGTTTGCTGGCGAAATCGACTTTGGAAGTTGTGAAAATGGTCTGTACTCGAGGAGATTGTTTCGGCTTGAAACGACTACTTCTGTTCCTCACCGAAGATTTTTCTGCGGTGGACAGTAACCCTCCTTATGTCCAAAACGGTGACAATTACGGCATTTATGTTTCTTGAAAGGACAGAACTTGACAAAATGCCACGAACCACAGTGCCAGCACACTGAAGGAGGTTTAGCTGAATTCTGAGACTGACGTGCTGTGTGCTTAACGGTGATCGGAGGACTTTTCACTGTGTTAATTGAACCAAATTCAGACGACTGTCGTTTGCACTCCACCATAGCAGTATCGTGCTTCAAGTTGATTAAGCGTAGGCATTCTGCTGTCACCATTTGTAAAGTCATTTTCGGGTCTTGTTCCACGAGTGACAGAAGTCGAGTTCTTATGTCAGTATCTTCTGGGTTCTTCAACCCACAAATAAAAATCAAACACTTGAACTGATCTGATGTCATTTCGTGTGGTTTGAACCTTTCACATTCCTTGTTCACTTTGCCAGCGTAAGTGACATAATCATCGGAAGGCATTTTTGTCAACTGAAAACATTGATACCGAATATTAAACATGGATGACTGTTCACCAAAGATTTGTGATAAAACGGTGACTGTCTCATCGAATGATAACTCACGTGGGTTCTTGGGCAGAATGAAGTTAACATATCTGTTGTGCTCAACAGTACCAAGTTTTCTTAGTAACAATCGGACTTTGGCAGCATCATCAAACATGTAGCATTCAATACGGAAAACGTCTTCGTAACGATTGAACCATGCATCAAATACGAGACCAGATATTGGGTCGTAGTTGAACTCACTGATGGAATTTGAGATGCTTTCATATTTGTCTGAATGAGATGTTGATGGAACTTGAATGGACAGCTTCTGAGTGAGAGCTTCGATTAATTTTAGTTGAGCTGCTTCATTCTGAACTTGCTGCTGCTGCAAGATAGATTTGAGATCGTCCAGAGAGATAGACATTGTAATTGGGTTGTAATTAACACAGTCAAAAATGTTCTATAGCTGCGCTGAACAGAATAAAACCCGTCGTCGCTTGCTTGTTATAGCTGCAATGAATTAAGGTAAAACCCCGTCGCCAATTTGTTATAACTGTAGGGAATTAAATGAGGACGTTGTCGCCTTGTTCTGTCTGCGCCTGACTAATATGCCTATCTGCTTGTCGTACCTTCCGATTCAGTGAAGCACGCAAATATCAAAAGACAAAGACTGGACTGTGACTGTGTATTGTAGTACAACAACAACGACAAAGAAAGTCATGGTATTTATACATTTTACAACAATATAGACAGCCAACAGCATTTGAAATAATTGATCGTGATAGTCAATAACAAAGTGCGTGAGAAATGATAATATACCATGTATGCGAGATTAACAGTCAGTAACAAAATGTGTGGGAATGATGATATACCATATATGCGAGATTAACAGTCAATACAAAAATGCGTGCGATCCTATCAGTATCACAACAGCACCACATGGTTGGAGTATGCATACTTCATCTGATAAGTTATTTTGATTAGCCGCGAAGTCTAATCACTGTGACTCACATACAGAAAAATTTAGTCTCAAAGTATAGAATACTTGAGTGAATGACAGTTTTGATATACTACACGTGGCGTATGCTAATTGTACTGTCGTAGTTGCCGTTGTTTTCAGGAGTTTGTGTGTACATTTCTAGTTTCTATTTTTTACTAGAGATTTTTGATGTTTTCTGTCTTGAGGTGATAAGTGTTGAATGTTTCTAAGATTCGATTTGTCTTCTGCCTGTCCCTAAAGGTTTCAAACGATATTTAGAACTTGTCGTTTCTAACAACTCATGAAAATTAGTGTGAAAACTAACAGTTTATAATATAGCTTATAATAACGATCAGACATGAATCAACACTAGCGAAGAGGTCGGCGTCGAAAAGCACTGGGGCAGTTTGAAAACGGTGTGGAGCCAAACCTGCATGGAAGTTCTAGGCAGAAAGAAGACGCAGGACAAACAGTGGCTCACTGCGGACACTTGGAAACTAATAGAGGAGAGAAGGATAGTGAAACAAAAGATTATCCAGTGCACCGACGAGCAACAAAAACAGGAGTTGAATGCAAGCTACAACAGGCTGAACAAAAGAGTAAGGAAGAGTGCCAGGGAAGACAAAAGAAAATATTATGAAGCCATGGGAAGTGAAGCAGAACAAGCTGCAGGCAAAGGAGACCTCGCAACACTCTACCTAACAACTGGGAACCTATCTGGCAAAAGTTCGACACAGATTAAGCCAGTCAAGGATGACAGTGGAAAGTCAATCACCAAAGAGGTGGAACAAAGAAAACACTGGGCTGAACACTTCAAAAGACTTCTAAATAGTCCGCCACCTACAACGCGCTTAACAATACCAACAACGGAAGCAGAACTACCAGCGAACATTAACCCCCCGACAAAATCAGAAGTCCTGAATGCAATTAAGATGCTAAAAGCTGGGAAAGCAGCAGGACCAGATGGAATTCCAGCAGAAGCATTGAAAATGGACCCAGAGACAACAGCGGAGTTGATGATGCCATTGCTGGAGAAGGTGTGGAAAGAGGGCAAAGTACCTGAGGATTGGAAGAAAGGATACTTATTCAAACTACCAAAGAAAGGAGACTTAAGTCAATGCAAAATCTGGCGCGGAATTATGCTCCTCTCCATTATAAGCGAAATACTAAGCCGCATCATCCTGGAGAGAATCAAACAAGCCCTAGATGAAAAACTTCGACCGGAACAGGCCGGATTCAGGAGAAACAAATCGTGTCACGGAAAATACCCATCCAACAAATCAGGTATTGACCGAATCGCCACACTACGGGTCATCATTGAGCAAAGCTTGGAATGGCAGTCACCTCTCTATCTCAACTTCATCGACTTTGAAAAGGCCTTCGATAGTGCAGCGTCGATCGAGAGGTCATTTGGTAACTACATCGCTACTACGGGGTTCCATCGACAATTATACATCTCATTCAACAGTTATACGACAATGCTGCATGCCGAGTAATCCACAACGGGAAACTTACGGAAGCCTTCGAAGAGAGGACGGGAGTGAAGCAAGGCTGTCTATTATCGCCAATGATCTTCCTGATTGCAATTGATTGGATAATGCGACAGACAACGGCAACCAACGAGGGAACTGGCATAAAATGGACTGACACAAAAGACTTGGAGGATCTGGATTTCGCCGATGATATATGTCTGATTTCCCATAAACTGGAAGATATGCAAGTGAAAAGTAACAAGTTGGCAGAAGAAGCATCAAAGATAGGACTTCAGGTGAACATAGATAAAACAGAAGTGATGAAGATTCTTGGCCAACAACAACAGCAGACGACAGTCAGCATCAATGGGAGGAACCTGAAAGAAACAACCTCCTTCACCTACCTACCTGGGAAGCATAGTTTCAACTACAGGCGAATGGAACTGACGAGGATATCAAAGCGAGAATCGGAAAAGCAAGATAAGCTTTCATTACCCTTAAGTTTGTGTGGAGGTCAACATCACTCAGCATCAAAAATAAGATCCGGATTTTCAACTCCAATATGAAGTCAGTGCTACTTTACGGATCAGAGACTTGGCGCGTCATAAAGAGCATCTTCAACAAACTTCAGACCTTTATTAACAGTTGTCTTCACTTAATACTCAAGATCAGATGGTCGGCCAGAAAAGATCAGCAACAGGGATCTCTGGAAATGAGCGAATCAACCAGGAATCGATTGTGAAACAAATAGGCAGGAAGAAATGGAGATGGATTGGCTGGCCACACTCTGAGTAAACCATCAAGTGAGTAAAATCACTAGACAAGCCATCGCTCGAGTGGAACCCGAAAGGGAAGCGGCGAGTTGGTCGTCCAAGGGTGACTTGGAGGAGGTCATGTGAGGAGGAGATGAAAGCATGTGGGCAGACTTGGAGCGGGGTGAAAAAGTTGGCAGAAAACGGAAGGCAATGGAGACGCGTGGCTGAAGCCCTATGTTCCTCTAGGAATTGAAGGATATAATAATAATGAATCAAAGATTGGTTTTGTGGTTAAATTTACTTCATTTAATGGTTTATTTTTTATCAGAATCTTTATTTGTGTTTTTGACTTATTGTTCATCCCTTTTTTTGTTTTTATTCCTCTTCGTCCCCAGTGGGAAATAGGGCTTCGAACTAGAGGCCTGAAGATTCGGTAGCAGTGGTATTTATTTTTACTGGGTGGGGTTGGTAGCCCTCATGCTCAACCTTCCCTCTTTATCAGACTTATTACTAGCTTAGTGTGGTGAAGGAGTGGGTCGGCGGGGCATTGAACCCCAAACCACCTGCGTGGTTGACGAGCATCCTACCGCTGTGCCACTGACGCACATTGTTTCCTATAAAACGTGTTAATTTACTGTGAATTATTCTCAGTATGTGATAGCATGTCCTGCAATCAAACGCAGTTAGCCTTCGCACTAGGTTTTAAGCAGTTTCGTTTATCTGACTTTTGCGATTGTCGTTGCTGACCGATGTCGGCAGTGATCAAGTAACTGTGCTTCATATTCAGACTGCTACAGTTGACTTTGGTGACTTCGCGAAGGCAGATTGATTTCCAGTAATCAGAATGTTTTCATTTACAAAGTTATTTCATCGTTAACTATAACTTCCTATTGTCATGTTTTGTTTGTGGCATAACAGGCGAGATTCGAGTTGTCATGTGTGACTCAGGAAGGGAGGCGTGTCATATCCTAGGACAGTTCTCTTCTTTGATAAATGTTGTTATAATTGCACACGATGGTCCCAAGGTTGCAGAAGCCAAGGTTCGTTTTTCGGCCAATGTCAGTGTCTACTTGTTTGATGAATTCTTGGTAAGTGCTTCGGTATAACATGGATTTCAATTGCATTAAACAGCATTATGTGTCTTAACCTACGATCCATCATGGAGAGTAACTGTTTTCTTTGTTTATAAAGACAGGTGCTTCTAGTTTTTTTATGATTGCTAATCAGTAAATTATACTCTACGGGATTGAGACAAATTACATCTTAAGATGTCTGAAGACAGATAGTCGGGCTAGTTTTCCCAAAACTTGTTTGATTTTAAGGGATACAGGCGTTCAATTGCTAAATAAAAAAGGAGACCTTATTTGGAACAGGTGGATAATATTGCCTTATGAGGCGAAGACTCCAAGAAAGTGAAAGAACATTATTAGTTCACTTTGTTGTCTACAAAGTCTTACATGCTCTATGAACCTGTGTCCTTTATATACAACTAAATTGGGGATAAATTATTTGCTAGTGTTATATTTCCCTCTCTTGTACTCGCCTGAAATATCTGTTTAATTAACCAGTGTGATTGCTTTTACATATGCACTCTGATTTCTGTTTCCCTAAGATGTATATAGAATCAACATATTTCCCAACTATAGTATGGGAGGAATAAGAAGTAGCTCGTGAGGAATCTTTACTGAAATTTCAGTGAATCTACTGATAGACATCTTGTCTGAAGTACATATTTTAGGTTGTTATTTCTGAAGGCGTCGGTGGTATAGCGGTTAGGACGCTCGCCGACCATGCACATGGTCCGGGGTTCGATCCCCTGCCGACGCACACCTGATATCTATAGTTGGCCTGTAAAATTCGGGATACCGATATCACATGCTGAAAAATTTCGACTCACTCCTTTCCTCGGTAAACCAATAATGAAACTGCTAAAGAAGAAAGGTTGGGCATGAAGGCTACCAACCCCATCCTGTAAAATAAACACCACTGCTACAGAAACTTCAAGCCACTTGCTTGAGGCCCGATGTTCCACTGGGAACGTGAAGGAAATAAATAAATATAAATTTCTGAAGGATTATTTTAGTTTTACAGACAGATGAAATCGTTTGTCCAACTTAATTGTCTATTCGAAATGTTTAGTAAGGTGTAAACACGAGTAATGAGTTTTATCTTCATATTACACAAAGTAGCTTTTACATTTTTTTGGATGTTTACTGATAAACAAACAAGCTAAAAGTAATTGACAGTGGATACTGGATGTTGAATTTATTTTAAGTTAGTAACAAGTACATAATGGTTGTACAGACACATTATAAAAAGCACTTTGCAGCTATTCAACGTGCTTTTATTTAAACAGGTAGAATGTCTGATAACACGTGCTGTCGAAAAATCTTAGCTTTATTCCCATCTAATTCAGTTGTATCTCGATTTGGTTCTTCGTTTTCTAGAAGGTTGGATCGAAGTATCGTATTCCCAAAATGGTGAGTTCCTTCAAACGCTACACTTTTAATTGTGGTAAAAAGTCTAATAGCTGAAAATATCTCATATCATTGCTTCTGTAATCACTTACTTACTATCCTTATTTATTTTGTCCTTGTGACTTAGTTTTGCCTTCAGTATATGTAAAGTCAACCTCTGGTTTTCAGTTTCAGAGAAGTTTTACTTTGAACTCACATTCATTGTGCACAAACAATTGTACATTTAACCGTCAATCTGGTAGATAGAAGACACGAAGGTGTGAAACATTTTCAAATAATTAACCTTAGAGATTGCCTTAGAGATTGGCTACATGTTCCCTACTTGAACATTTAAGTAGCCTGCTAAAACGAGTATATCTGAGCGTCTTTTCTTTCCGCAGCAAGCAAGACAACTTTTGATAGAACTCATCCTCTCTTTCGTCTGAACTGCATTTGGTTGGTACATAGGAGGAGATTATGAAAAGATTGATGGGTAACGCAGTTTTCCTTCTGACGGATGATTTCAGACGGATAGCACACATGAGTTAACAGATCTTTTATAGATTAAATCGTATAGAAAGCATAGAATAGGTAGTGAAGAGAGAAAATTCCAGGATATTCGGACCAGTGAATTCATCAAATTACCAACAGTTGATTTTGTACGTCAATCCTATAGCAGTCGATATAAATATTGACCATGACCGATTGCTAAAGCGTCGGCTTACTATTCCTACAAATATTTAGATCTTCGATATCAAATTCTGTTTTACCTCTAGTTCCTGTTGAAACTTGTACAACAGATTGATTTGATACCACTGAAAAATATCAGCCAACAGTTTACGTCATTGATTTTGCATGATGTGCACAAAAAATACAGTTATTTCTTCATTTTTTATCTGTGTTTAGAATCCGAAACCCGATGACTTATACATGATATGCTATACTAGTGGAAGTACTGGTGAGATTTTTTCTTTGATTTGTAGTTAAATTTTCCCCTACAGTTAAAAACTTCATAATAGTTCCTATTAACGAAAGCCGTAGAAGCACAACACTTTGTATTAGAGTGCATAACTTCACATTTCAGGGAAGAAACATGAAGCTAGATGAACCAAATGAAGTGAAACAACAATAAACAAAGGTTTACGGGAGGGAGAATAACTCATCAAAGACTAGAGAGGATTTCCAGAGTCTGGATGATGACAAGGAGTAAATACATCTGCGACATTGTCAAAGACTTTGAGCCATGTCACAAACACTCTACAGCCATTGATTCACAACGCCCTATGGATCACAGGGAGTCGACACCGCGGGCCAAATTAACAGTCAGTCAAAGACTTCATGGGTTGGTGTCAGGTTCTCGTCTGACCCACTTCCAACTATTTTCAAACGCAGTCCGGTTCCCTCCAACACAGCTTATCAAGGAGAGCGGTGACTGGACTGTTGGTCTTCAAGTTTATGTGGCATTGATCTTCGTAGAACTTTTTTGTTGGTTGGATGTGTGGCCGTCTTCTCGCTTGTCAGCGTCTGTCGCATGGTGCAGTTCACCGCGATCGGGATTGTCATCGGTGACAATTAAGTAGCCTTTGGTCACATACATTCTACAAACTCTGATGTAATGTCAATTGATGATTTCGTCAGTGTTTAGTGCATCTCCGTATCGTCATACATATTTTTCTAAAAATAGATTCTTGGTTGGTTTGTTGCCAAAGTCCTTTATATGCAGATGGTCTTTGACTTCATCGATTTTGTAGCCTAAATAAGTTACGTAAAATCCTGCTGAGGAAAGTTAACCTCTGATTTCACTTGTTTTGATTTTTGTCGTGATTTTTGATTTTGAGTTATGACATAACTCATGAATTTTCGGCGTTAAACTTTTTATAATAATCTTTTTTTACAAAAAGTGCATAGAACATAGATTTGTTTCCATATCGGTTCTGGTGGTTCACATTGTTCCCATAAAAGTTAAAACTTATAATTTTTATCGATTTCAATGTAGCGAAAATATTCATTTAGACATCTACAAAAAAGCAAAATAATTGAGCAAAGAATATCCTTTTCGATAATTTCCTCTTCTGGCCATACAATTAATTACGTTGTTATGTTGATGCTATTGATATTATTGATTCGATGGTATTTGAAAATTAATGCTGTTCGTAACACTAATGGATTCATTCACTTTAATGTATATATAACTGTAGAGCCTGATGACGAAGTTATCGAAAAGAGTATTCTTTGTTTAGTATCCATTCTTTTGAAAATTATACATATGTTTTTATACACAGAATATTCTAGAATAGTAGTCAATAACAATATTGGTGATTTTTAAATATTATCGATTTGTTAAGTAAGATCAATGATATTACAGTTCATTAAAGATGCTTAGATTATAATAATAATAAAAATATAATAGCAAATAGAATATCAAATAAAATCAAGGAAACTTCTACAAAAAATTGAGGATCATTCGAACCTAGGTCAAGGTAAGGACAATGCCTGAACCAGCTATTTTTGAACTCATGGGTTAGGCTTCTTAACGTGAATCCCAACGGCCTCAGCTATACATAGTAGACGAACTCTTAAGGTGAAGTTAAGATTAGTTGGTATGCGATATATGACTTTGAAAGCCTGGTTGATATCAAGCCTCTGTTCTGTATCCATAAGATGAGACAGAATAGCACTCTGAATGAATTTTGTGTGTCCTTTAGTTAACCGCGTAGGGTGATGTACGGAAATGTGACGAGAAACACGCCTAATTGTACGGCTTATATAACTGGCCCTACAGGAGCAGTTCACTTGGTAAATACATATAGAAGAGGCTAAATTAGACAGTTTATCTCTTATTCCTGAACGCAAAATAAAGGTGGTTTTGAAGACACAACGTTATTCAGCAGCAGGGAATACTCTTTTTACCGAATTTCTACGGCTTTGTGTTAATATCTCGCTGATGATATCCCGAGGAACTGAATTTGTAAGAATAAGGCCTTTTTTGGAACTGTTGGTACTTTTCGCTGCCTCGATTTTTGGTTCATACTCCTATCAATGAATTTTTCTGGAAAACCGTTTTCACTCAGCAACTGTTCTAGAATATTCTATGTATGTAAACATAAATATAATTGTAGAGCCACATGAAAAAATTATCGAAAAGGATATTCTCTGCTCAATTATTTTGTTTTGTATCGATTTGCCACTAGTAATAGGTATTGCAAAGTAAATTAAGGTTCATTACTATTCACTCGTGCACTGATACATTAAATAGTTAAGAGTTTTCGGTGATTGATTTTCATTAATTTACAAGTATTGGTTTTGTAGGGATTTTGTTTGATTGCATGGAGGATTTAATCATGAGCTGACATCAGTTAGAGAACCACTGGGAAACCTGGGAGTACTGGACAGCTGTTTCGTCCTAGTTTCGGACTCTTCATCAGTATGCACCCACCGGGATTCGAACCTAGGACCTTCTGGTTACAAGGCGAGCTCGTAGACCATTGAGCCACTGGGACCCGATCCAATGGTCCTTGAATTCTATCTTCTGCCAATTCACGACATAGCGCGGCCACTTCGCAATGTCTTCTTCGATGAGTTACTGCCTCATCTTCAACCTGCTGTACCCTACTGGTCACGGCTTCCCACTAGAACCCCAGGTTAACTGCCTAAATAGGGCCAGTCACTAGTTTGTTTGATTTTGCTTTGAAAATATCCACTAAGCTTCAATTTAGTGTTAAAGTCTTATATAAATTGTTAAAATGGATATTATCTTCAGTTTCTAAAGCCGCCTCTTTTTATCTTCATAAAATTATGGATTAAAGGAAATAGATGACTTCAGCGCCAATTGTATTTGTGCATATAATTATACCTTATGGGATGTAACTGCAAGTTTAGAGTATGGTGCCCTTAGGATCGTCGAAATTATAGAAATATTTGTTGTTTATCGACTGTGAACAGTTAGCCCCTAGTTTTTGTGTCAAATATTCGTGCCTTCTTTGCGTTCATATGGCCTGAGATATCAGGTAGGCGTAAAGCTTTATGCCGTATATATACATGCATGGAATTTGTAATCCGATGTTCAATCTACTATTCATTTGGTTTTCATATAGGTTTACCAAAGGGTGTGTTAATTGAGCATCAGCAAGTTGTTGAAGCTGTATTTGCTATTATTGAAAATACTGAAGAAAAAGTAAGTAATTTTATTGTAGCGTTTTTCACTTGGTTTTGGTTGATCAAGTACACTGATATGAAAACAAAACTCTGACACTTGACTGATTAAGGCATAATTCTATGAAACAGTTTGTCTGATCTAGCAAATATTGACATTACTCCCTGCCTGATGATATTCCTAGTATAATATGTTATTCAGCGGTGCGGCTAAATTAATGTTTTCTTTATCTCCGGTATTAAATTTAAGCCATTTCTTTCTTTTGTATTAAATGCTAAGCTGATGAACGAGAAAATTTAATGATCGATCTAAGTGAAATACTCTTTAGGAAGGTACTTTTGCCTCTATGCATTGTGACTGTGTTAGTGGACACAGTCACTGCAAAGTATTTAGGGAGTTAGCTTATTTCGCCTAATCATGTGAATAGAATTTTCATGTAAGTAGACGTTGGTTCACAAGGAGTCGATGCATGTAGCTTGTCTATTTTAAACTTGTTAACATTAGTTGTATAGTTGCTTCATAGAACTACCTTTGATATTTCATTATCATACTCTGTGACATTATCGTTGGTAGATTTATTAAAAGGCGATCAACTGTGACATTCATTAAAATAGCCAAAACTTTCCCTCATTGTGAGTTACCATATGCGAATGCAGGTAAAAATATAAAGATGTAGCTACTATATATCAGCTCAAAATTCTATGCTGTTGGTGTGTTTTGACTTATTAAACAACATACACTGAGACGAAACGTTTTTATATCATAATTTCAGTGTTATGAAATAATGGTTAAAGTTAAAGTGAAAGCGTCAGTGTTGCCCAAATTCCAACCACGTTTATTTTGTAATTGTCTACACATTCATTATTATTCTGTTATTTTTATGAGAATATTGAAATATTCAAATCAATTGGTTAGCTGACTGACAGCATTATCATCATGAAATTCTTGAATACAGATGAAGTATGTGACTTGTACAAAACAGGTTTCACTTAATAACATGGGTTTACATACAGTTCAATACAAACAAATCTTTGGGGTTAACAAGAGAGAGAGAGTAGTTTATTGTATTACAAAACTGTCCATAAGTAAGGAAGTCGAAGAAGCCATCTACTAATATGTATGTATGCCGGTAGGTATCCTAAACCATTTATTGTCAGTAATTTGTACTAAGTTATTAAACGGAGTCATTTTTTATTTTTTATGAGTTGCCGTGATGCTTTATTTTACTGTATTTACTGTATTTCAGTGCTGTAACAAGTTTTCAACGCATCTATCATATTTACCATTCGCTCATATTATGGAACAAGTAAATTCTGTAAGTCCTTAATCACCTCTTCCAGAGTGTCATTTTTCTGTTATTTTGCAACAAACTATTTGTTTGGTGTATTTTCATATATGCAGTTACTTGGATGGAGTTCAAGTAGATGTGAGAAGACGTGTCTAGTTGGTTTTGGTAAATTTATAAAAGTCATTCTTAATATTTCACTAAAGATGAATAAATGTATGGTGATGGAGATAACCAACGAACCGCAACAACAACAACCAGCACCAATAACTATCAACGGGAGAGAATTAACATAGGTTACCTGCTTTACTTATCTAGGAAGCACGGTTTCAACCACAGGTAGTCGGAATGGATGAAGATGTCAAAGCCAACCAGAATCAGAGAGCCAAATACGCCTTCATCAAACTGAAAGCAGTTTGGAAATCTTCTGCACTCCACCTCAGCATAAAGAACAAGACTCGGATTTCTAACACAAATGTGAAGACAATCAATACTTCGATGTGGGTGAGAAACTTGCACTGCGTGTGCGTCACGAAAAGGGTTTCCAGCAGGTTACAGACGTTTATCAAAAGCTGCCTTCTCTGGCACCACACTGAGGAACAAATTGCCAGCTGGCCAGAAAGAATTAAGATCAAGAAACTCTGGCGTGGAATAAACCAACCAAGATCCGATAGTTCAACAAATATGTAGGAGAAAGTGGAGATGGATTGATCGGGCTGTCGAATGACATCGCGCGCGATGCAGGCTATCGCTCCAGTGGAATCCGAATGGGAAGCGACGAGTGGGTCATCGGTGCGAGTGTGGTCGTGTGTGGAGTAGATCGTGTGAGTAGGATATGAGAGATTATGGTCTATCGTGGGCTTAGCTGAAGAAGGTATCACCAAATAGAGCAAAGTGGAGATGTGTTGTTGAAGCCCTATGTTCCACTCGGAAACCAAGCGGATTATAATAATAATACGTCAGTTCAACTCAGGCAGTGTAATGGACAACACTTTAGTCTAACTTCTGACCGATGAAACTTAGCCACTTCAATTATTTTCACTATCTGCCTTTTAGAAGTAAATGGAAGAGTGTTTTGTGTCATATTACATAATGTAATGCCTTAACCGCCGTCACAGAAATGGAACAAATCTTTGAAGTGTTTCTTTAGGCTACTATTTGTACTGATGACATTAAATGTAATTTGCTGTGAAGGGAACTTTTATTTAGATAAAGCAATAAGAAAACGTAATTTGTCTGAATCCCATATAATATATAATATATCCCATATAATGAGGCCACTGAACTGATATAGCAGTAATATTGAATGGCATTTCTGCCGAATACGAGTGATTGACTAGCCCTCAAATCTACGGTCTATGAAATATCTACGGTTCATTTTTGATTCTTCTAGTCGTTGCTGAGGTCATAAAAATATCTAGTCTATACAAGGGATTCCATAACCACTGAGTGTTTCATCTCTGCACTCATTCCTTATTACTTCTCTTTCCGTGATAAGGCTGTTCTATAGAAAGAAGTAGTGGGTTGAAGAATATCCATCAGCTGTATCTGTGTCGTCATGACCGGTGATTATCAATTGTTGTAGCCACATATTCTTCTGAAGCCAGGTGAAATTATATTATTTGTGAGCACCTTCGATTACGATATACTCAAAGCACATGGACATGGAGAGGAAGACCACGATACCTTACATCTCCCTATAAAAAGAAAGTAGTCAACGGGATTCCGCTAGATTATATGCCAGACACATTCATGACAGCACTCATAAAATATGCGGATAAAGCTGTCTGTCACTCGATTAACATGCGACGTCAGTTAGGTAAGTGAAAGTTAAACATACTTTTTTCTAGCCTGACCTCAAGCAACAAGTGAGGGCGATATAAAAAAAATAAAAAAAATATGTAGGTTGTAGGTAAGGGTATAAATCCCGAAATGGAAGGATCTACATTTACTTTTTTTGACTGCAACCAATTGTTAGTTGAGTCGATAGAAGACCAAATGATGTTATCCTTTTTTTAAACGTTAGTGTTGTATCATAGTCAATGTTATTTATTTTGATATTAACTCCAATATGCTATATGAATACACATTCTTCTACATTAATTAATTGAGTGAAAAAGTGATCTGGACGTCATTGGTTGAAAGTCGGTATTCTTCATCGAGTTAACTTCTAGAAACGACTTCTGGTTCTGTGTATCACTAGTCCCGGAACAGAATTACTGAAGAGAAGCCCGATAAAACGTTTAGATCCCCTTTGCTTAATTTGTTTGAATGTGTTTGCACGAAGTGGCGGTTGCATTGAAGAAGACTATGGAACACGTCGGAATGTATCGTTTCTTGAAAGTTGAGTTGAGGTGTATTCTGAAACAGAATTAGCCCCTCTTAATCATTTTAATGTTTTCAAAAATGAACAGATCTACCGAAATACTGTCGGAATCGTGTGATTTTTCTAAAGGTCAGACAGTAAAACCTTGAAAATATGCCCGCATTTTCACTCATTTCAAGCTTTTAATAAATGTATTACTTCCCTTTTTTGGGTTATTCTGAATTTTTAGTGGCCTGACCAGTGTTTTGGAAACAGTCTTGCACCCACCAGATTATATAGTAGTGCCGCTTAATCGATACCGATTGTGCATTGTTAGGCTGGAAACTCAGGTGACTGATGAATATGACTTTCTTGTTACCTTCACAATCTCATTACAGCCTTACTGTATGACCATGTGTGATTTCTTACCAATAAAACGGCCGCCATGTAGCAGGGGGAAAGATGAAATTGAAATCTTGTGCAAGTTGCTGCACTTAACAATAGTTTAAAAGGAGCATTAAGACAGAGTAAATAATGAAGAAATACTCATGTCGAAAATATTATTTATTTTCTGGTTTATACAAGTTCCCAGTTTCCGCTTTGAAACTGTATACAACTACTAAAGTCAGAAATGATGTATCTTCTCTCGTATCTGTTCACGCACAGAAGGCTTGATCTGTTCCACGCATTTATTTTTCTCCTCATGATTTATTTGTCAAAAGCAGAGTTTCCTTTCTGTCTTATTTACCCACCGCATTCTATAAGAAAGTGAACGTGACTGTAGTCCTGTTATTATCCGTAAAAGGAAAATTTCGGGTATGAAAAGGTGGTAGACTGTATATAGCTTAGCACTGAAATAATAGAGACGATTTGTTGCTCAGGTGGATGATTTGCAATTAATAGTGTTCTCTGAGCTGGTTGGTTTAATTGCGGAGCTTTCGTCGTCCCCTTTCAGCGCATAAAGTGAAATGATTTAAATTTTTTCATGAGTGATATAATTGCGTCTCCCAGTAACCATCTTTACTTATGTAATGACCATTTTTTATTGAATTGGATTTTAAACTTTCTGGTCACATGATTTACTTTTTATTAGTTGGTATATTATTAACTCAGAGATTACTATTAATTGCATAGCATATCTTTTCTCTGGACAAAAGCTTTTTGTGTTGCTTGTTTGAAAACTAATAATTCAGCAAATTTGTGATTGATCACTAGTGCATTGGAATATTGTGATAGCATGAAAGGATTGTGACAGCACATCAATTGAAGACTAAACATAGTTGTTCTTGAGATATAATAATAGCGTATTTCCAAACCTTAGTATACTGCCATTTACTTTTTGCGAGTGAAGAACATTAAATCATCAGATCCTCAATTCAGCTTGTTGGACTTGGTATCGGCTCATGTTTCTGCAAGTGTATTACAACGTATTACAACTGTCTTGTATTTGAAAAAGACTAGATTCTAATCTGAGAGTTTGTTCCCACTAATGAATGAATGAACAGTTTGCTTCTGAGTAGAAGACAGTGTACTCTAGGAAGGTCTACTTCATCTGAAAGTTTCGCTATGTAATTCCCAACTTCATCAAAATCTCCGCAGTTGTTACTTATATCGCAAAACGTTCAAAAAATCTTGTTTTTCATTTCAATAGCGTGGGAATTTTGTGGAATCGTTTTTTGAAGAGCAATAAGAAGATAGGGTCATTGAAGATACTCAAGAGGTGATGTTTAGTTTGAGAAGTAATTTCAACTATGGAAGCTTAATTCTTAGAAAACTCAAATAACTAGTGTTGGTGTTTCAAAATTTTTAATTACACTAGGCAAATTCAACTTCATGTCTGCAAATTCAGGTATTAGCTTAGATAAGTTACATTCATAAAAGGTTGTCAATGATAGTGTAAAGTTTTGTTATGCTTTTTCGATGATAAAATGGCGTCGACTTATGAGGGTAAACATGTATGAAGTGAAGTTTTTATATCCCAGATTTGAAACAGTTATCTTGTTAGTAAACTAGCTGAAAGTCATTCATTTTAACTTATCACTGTTTGAACATAAGGCTGTTGATAGCCATACTGTTGTTCTCAGTACATCTCTTTAGCGGAGCATAACTGATCATTTCTCGCTTTACTATATTGTAGTCTGTTGTGCTTATCGAAGGTGCTAAAATGGGATTCTTGACAGATACCGTTGATGGACTAGTAGCTGACTGCGCAGCTCTGAAACCAACTATGTTAACAGCTGTTCCTCGTGTCTTATCACGCATATATTCGAAATATCAAAAAGCTATTGATGGATCAGCCTTGAAAACTCGTTTGTTAAACCATGTGCTTAAGCAAAAGCTTGGTGAACAGAGACGGTAAACCATTTTGTCTTGTTTTTTGTTGATATGTTAACTATTTTTAAATAAGTATTTTAATTAGCTTTTCATTTCACCGTTTAGAAATGTTACGAAGCTTGTTTTCAGTGATATAGGACAGGATAATTTGAAGTTTAGTGTCAATTTTGCTTACATACTGATACATATTGATGTCTAAACTTACACCTTGATTTCTGGCAATTTTGTAGTCTGATGTAAGTAGCTGAGCTCACCTCCATCACTCTGTACTTCCTAAGGTATCCCTTCATGCTGAGGTGTACGTTCAGCGCCTTAAGAATGCGTAAAGCAATTGTCATAGATTCACGCTTACAGAGGTGCGAAATGATTAGTAGGTTTTTGAGTTCAGTTGCTGGGTAAGCAACTGTCTACAGCAAAGTTAAATATCACAGTCTCCGGGTGAAGGATTTTGTCATTTTCCTGAGAATATTTTGAAATTATTCAGTAAAACATGATGTACACACTTTGTTATCGCTTACATTGATTTGTCATTTTGTCTTGAATAAAATTCAGTTACTAATCAAAGTAAAAGGATACCATTTGCTTATAAAGTCGTTGACTTTATTTTGAAAGGTATATTTCGCCCTGGTGTATGATTGTTATATTTAAGTTTAAGTGTAAATTTGCCTTACAAGGGAGTGTAACGTATACTGATACATTAATATTCAGAGGACAAAAGGATGAAACAGCGGCTGTCCAGTACTCCCTGGTTTTCAATAGTTCTCTAACTGATATCAATCCGTGATCAACCCGTAGAAAAATTGCAATGGTTCCACGAGTGGATTACATAATGCATAATTTGGGCAAGTGATGGTCTGGAATGGTTACGCAATAAGGATGAAGTAGTCAGAATAATAAAACATTTAGGACAATGGTAATTTGTAAACGGGCAAGGGTAGGGGAAAATTGTTAGTTTTTTACATTTATGTAATAATGGTCGAGGTAAGGAAAATGATGTTAGTATTTTTCACGCTAAGTTCTTGTATTTACCAATTTGTGAACTGTTAGTCTGGTACTACTTGAATTATGTGACTTTCACTGCAGGCACTTGATGTTTGAATTTCACTGAGAATCAGCGTGTTGCTTGATTTATATCAGCTTTTGTGGATTGGGATAATTTCCCGTTCAGTCTTTATTCTCGTTTTACTGTTTTCAATAGAAATAAATAAAACAGTTGAATCGTGTTTCAAATGGCTACTGTGTTGGAATTGTTATCTAGATGACAGCTGACAACACCAGTTCTGTAGTCCTATGCTGACAAGTATTTCATATATGCTTACTTTTACAGTCTGGTTCACAGTGTCATCTGTACTAATGCATTAAGTAGAAGCTTGAAATGTGAATCGCTGAAACCTTAACGTCGGTCTTAGTGTTTCTCTTTGAAAAATGTGTTTGGCTATTACTGTAATACAGGGCAGGAATATTCCTATTCGGACGTCCGGAATTACTTTTTTTGGAGGTTTCGAACTGGACTGCTCTACATGTTACTTTGTAATATGATATTCATTCGTTACAACTCAAAATGTGGTATGTGCCAACAACTGCTCAATTTCGGTGTTGAGTTTCTCTTTGTTTGGCATCTAATGTCTAACATTATATGCAGTGTCACATGAAGTCGTACTGTTTATCACATTCGCCATATTTCAAATTTGAATTTTAGATGTTCAGTATGCAATCTATATTGGTAAATATGCCGTCGCAGATTGTTGAGCAGCAAATTACAAACACTTTGAGATAATTTTTCAGGCTAATTTTATTGAAATGAAGGTCTTGGTGAAATAAAGAGAGAATAAGATGATTTTATTTGCCTGTGAATTCTCGTCACATTAGTTTAAGTCTCCTACGCCAGTGTGATCACTTAATTTCTTAATTATAGGCTTGTCTGTGCTTCATTGTATCCTTCTGAATTTGTCTTTGATTGCGTGTACTGTCGATTTCGAAATGAATTAACCAATATTCATTTGTTTTGTCTTTACTAGAGGGAAATTTAACCATCAAAGTCTTTTGGATACACTTTGCTTTAAAAAGCTTCGCCAGGCTCTTGGTGGACAGGTTTGTGGCATAATAACTGGTGGTGCACCACTCTTACCTGAAATTCATGATTTTATACGCGCGGTGTTTAACGGCCTCGTAAGTCATAGTTAAATTCTACTAACTTAACTGTGTATAAATCTACAAATTTGATGACTTGTCTATTTGAAATTTCTTTCTTTTGAAGGAATGAGTTACTGTTTTTGATGAGTCTTGTCTTTATTGAAAGTCAACAGTATAGAAATACTACTACTTCTAGATGTATATCCTTGATTCGATTCATAATGAGGCATAAATATTTTTGTTAGCACCCTTGCTGCCCACTGTGTTTTATTTGTATTTGTGTTTGGAGTTCGCATTTAAGACTCTTAGTAAATTTCTTTGACATTCTATGAGCGTTTGGTTCAGTCGCGTTGGCTACAGGTTTGATTTCAAGCTGAATGTGTTTGTGTTTCAACATTATGTGGTATCATATAAGCGAGTGACAAACTTAAGAATTCTTGACTGATTTTTGAGGTTTGAATACAGTCAACCACTTCATAAAAATCCAAAATTAAAAAAAACGTGTGTGTCATTTTGGAAGATTTTGAGACGTTTTATCTGCTGTTCGTGATCGATAATTTCGTCTTATGCTTTTCTGAATTCGTATTCATTAAGATACTAATCGGAGTATAGTTTCTTCTTTATGTCACCTAATTTTTAAACTGTATTGCTGTATGTGGCTGATAGTTGCGGGCTGTGTTCAAATTCTAGCTGATTGGTCATTCTTATGGTGGAATGGATTAGATACGTATTTTTTGTCACTATTCCTCTGTGTAATTATTACTGTTGGTTACAAACGCGCTGTAAATTCCCCTGGCTTCAGAAACTGCTGATAGTGTGTGATTATGAAGTCGTCTCCAACATATTTATAACTTTAAAGAAAGCAAATATATGGACTGTTATTATTCTAAATTCATAATTTTAAATTTTCCTTCTTGTTTTTGTTGAAAACAATTTAGATCATTGAAGGTTATGGTTCTACAGAAACTACTGGAGTCATAACTCTCTCTTGTTGGAGAATATCGGACTGGTATATTGGGCTCTATTGCATACGGTGTAGAGGTGAAATTGGCTGATGTACCCGATTTGGGTCTTGTTGCACAAAGAGACAATAGAGGAGAGGTGAGCTTTCAGAATCTATGTAATGAACCAACAATTGTAGTTCCCATTCCGTAATATTCCTACTGCTCTCTTACTGATGAGGTTTATTATTATTAATATTATTATTGTTATTACTCTCATTATTAATACCACTACTAACAGTAATAATGTTGATAATCATCCTCATGAACCTAATAAGAGATTCATACTTGGTGATAATAATTAACAAGTGCTAATCCACAGAATGTGTCCTCAGTTAGCCAAAGCGATGTGTTTTACAGCCTGTCATACCAAAGTTTGTTCACTTGTCTCCCATAATTTTGAAGTGTGAAGTTTGAGGTAAGGAGCGAAAGTCAGTCAAAAAAATTGTGAGGTGCCTTCGACTGAGATGAGTAAAATGTACCTGACACATCTTGAGTAACCGCTCTCCTTGATAAGCTGTGTTGGAGGGAACCGGACTGCGTTTGAAAATAGTTGGAAGTGGGTCAGACGAGAACCTGACACCAACCCATGAAGTCTTTGACTGACTGTTAATTTGGCCCGCGGTGTCGACTCCTGTGATCCATAGGGCGTTGTGAATCAATGGCTGTAGAGTGTTTGTGACATGGCTCAAAGTCTTTGACAATTTCGCAGATGTATTTACTCCTTGTCATCATCCAGACTCTGGAAATCCTCTCTAGTCTTTGATGAGTTATTCTCCCTCCCGTAAACCTTTGTTTATTGTTGTTTCACTTCATTTGGTTCATCTAGCTTTATGTTTCTTCTTTGAAGTGTAATTATTTGGTTTTATGCACTCTTGTGCAAATATCTGTGTTGTTTGCGTAGACAAAAGTGACACTCAGGTTCATTCATTCCTTGTCCTTATTTAAATTGTGCGTTGGTGGCACAGTGGTTAGGACTCTCGCCGACCATGCACATGGTCCGGGGTTCGAGCCCGCACCAACGCACACCTGATATCTACGGTCGGCCTGCAAAATTTGGGCTACCGATATCCATGCTGAAAATTCCATACTTGTACCGAAAATACAGTGTGGAATCAAGCTGCAAATCAAAAATTAAAAATAAAATAAAATAAAAAATTGTAGTGTTCTTTTCCTTTATTCGCTGTAATATTTGTTAATTTATGGTCATTCATTTAACCTCACCCGGTCAACTAGGTGAATCTGCAAAATTCACTTTAAGGGTGTCGGGAGACCCCTCAGCTAGCTCGCGATGACTCGCAGGTGTAGGGATGGCATTGAGTGTTAGGGCGGAAAAGTCACTTCTTGACTGGATCCCAGTAGATAGTCGTATGTGTGCGGTCCGTCTGAGTGGGTCCTTTAGAAGAAAGAAAGACGGCACTACCCGTCTCTGCCCTTCGTAGTCTCCGCTTACAACCCAACAGACTGCAGTTCGAATGAACTAAAGGATGACTTCAACCTGAAACTGTCTAATTTTCTGCAAGAAGCAAAACGTTCAGATATATTTATTTTAGCAGGCGACTTAAATGCCAAGTAGGGAAGTTGTGCCAGACTGAGAAGTATGTAGGTGGTACGTATGAAGTACCCTGCCGACGAACCGACAACGGTGATCGTCTTTTACAGTTTTGCTCAGATAATCATCTGTTTCTGGTCAGCACTAACTTTAGGCACAAAGAAAGACATTGTGTGACCCGGCAACCTCCATCACCAAATCAACGCTGGACTCAGATGGACGACATAGCTACATGGTATCGTTGGGGGGGGAAGTAGAAGACTGTTGCTGCTTCTGGAACACGTGCGTAGACTGTGATCACGCTCTGGTTCACGCACGTTTATGCTTACGACTAAACGGACATAAGAAATTGATGCCAGCGAAACAGTTACGTCCCCAACCGGATCGAGACACCGAGTCCCTATTTAAGGAAGAAATAGCGAAACGAGTTTCTGAGGTCGACACCAGGACTTATCCTGAGGTAGTCTGGAACAACATACAGTTAGCTGCAGACACAGCTGTAAAAGCTTTAAGCAAGCTTAAACCAAAAGTTAGTAAGAGCCGTTGGATCTCTACCGCCTCATCCGAACTTATTGACGCAAGAAGACTGATTCCGGCTAGCTCCGGTTATGATGAGGAGCGAAAGCTGCTCAAATGAAAACTAACAAGAAGTCTTCGCAACGACCGTGAATAGTGGTGGGTGACAAAAGCGAAAGAGACGGAGTAGGCATTGGCGATTGGTAACACCAGACAACTACTTAGGCTTGTCAGGGAAACAGGTGGTGAAAGGCACATTATAAGTGAAACAATCTCCGAGAAAATGGCACTATAATTAGCTTCCAGGATAGACGACTGGAACGCTGTAAAGAGCACTATGAGGAGCAGTTTAATTGACCCACAGCCACGCTCAACCTGCCGAACATCGAGCACCTCCCTGAATGGGATATAGACACAGGTCCTCCGTCCCTAACTGAAGTTACTAAAGCTGTCACTAATCTGAAACAAGACAAAGCAACGAGACCTGATGGAATGACTGTAGAGGTATTTAAGTACGATGGAGACAGTTTACTGTCTGCATTAACTGAGGTTCTAGGGAGCGTCTGGGAATCAGAGGAAGTCCCGTCGGGTTGGTGTAAGTCATTGATTATCCCCATATACAAGAAGAGAAACAAGTCTTCCTGTGATAATCACATGGGGATTAGCTTGACTAATATGGCATCTACAGTTCTAGGCTCAACAATCATGCATAGAATAAGCTGTGTTCGGGAGGAACAAACACGAGAGAGCCAGGTAGGCTTTAGACCAGGAAGAGGGTGTATCGCTCATATCTTCACCCTTCGACAGATTCTGTAACGGAACACAGGCATACTTACTGCATCCGTCAATCATCATACTTCTTGACCTGAACGCATCATTTGATTTCGTCGACTGAGAGGTGCTATTGCGATGCTTAGCTGTAAAAGGAATGCGAGGAGGCTGACAAAATGCAGAGTCTTCTGAACTCCTTGAGGATCGGCAGTGTTCAAATGATTGGTATGCGATTCGCTCCCGTCAAATATAAGATGATGCTACAGGACTGGACTACACTGATTCCTAGTCTAGAAATAGGGAGTGAAGTGGTGGAGCACGTTGACCACTTCACTTGCTTGGGAGTTGGATCAGCCCAACGGGTTGATCTCTGACGAAATCTCAATACGGATACAGAGGGCTAGTTTCGCATATGCCAGTTTACGCCGTCTCTGGCGTAGACGTGACATCCGACTGACTGTCGACCAAAGAGCGGGTGTACTGCTCATCAGTCCGCTCCGTCCTCCTTTATGGCTGTGAGAAATGATCATAGAAGGTGGAAGATATAAAAAGGCTAGCTATCTTTTATCATATGTGCCTGCGTCCTATCTCCCGTGTGAAGTGCTATAATAAGGTGAGCAATATTGAGGATAGGTGTCGAGTGCTAGATAAGGAAGGGAAATCAATCGACGAGGCTGTGGAATTACATCGAGTGAGGTGGTTAAGACATGTTTTACGTATGCCTAGTCATCGCCTTCCTCGACGGGCAATGTTGGTTGGCTGACATAGGGTCAGGCTGGAATAGAGCTAGCGGCCGTCAAACCAAAACATGACTTCATTAGTCAACGAGATCCACAACAGTTAGTTTAAGCCAGCTAGTCACGTAGGAAGGTCTAGACTTCTGGTTAGAGTCCTCGGGACGGCAAAACCAATGGTTGGAAACAATCGGTGATATGGCTCAAAGTGATCGTTCTCAATGGTACAGATGCATACACTCCTTGTGACTTATGATTTCCAATGAAACTATATTGTTCTTCGTTATTACTATTCCTTTGTCCCACACCTCTGTTTACTGTCTCTATTATGTATTTCTTCTGTTGCTTTGTGTGCTATAAGGAGGGATTGTGGCGACTTGATCTGCCGCACTTCGGTACAAAGTTCTATGTCGAAAACAGACGAACAGACATTTAGTTTATTTTCTGGATTCCTTAAACTTTCTGCATTGTTAAAATCCTCAGAAAAAGTTATAACTTATGTGAAAATGTTTGACGTGGTTCTTTGAACCACATCAATGTACTCACGTCATGTACTCATGTTGATAGTTAGTAAGTTAGATAACTACCAGTAAAGAATGGCTAGTTATCGCGATTCGAATAAAGAATAACGCAGTGACGTCTATAAATACACTGCACTGTGTGTCAATTTTGATTACAGTGATTACATGGACATAGGATATTATTAGTATCAACAGTATTTGTACTGCTTATGTAAAAATTTTTGTTTATTTTATTTTAATGTAAATAAGAAAAGACAAACGAAATTCTTCCTTCATGTTTGATAGCACTGTCATGTTACTTTTCTATTACACTTTCGCAGATTTGTGTTAAAGGTAGGGTATGTACGAAAGGTTATTACAAAGATCCTCAAAGGACAGCTGAATTAATTGATGCAGATGGCTGGCTACATACAGGTGATATTGGAGAATGGAGTCCAGTAAGATGCCGATTTTTTTAACCTTTTCTTCGTTTACTTTAAGATTTTCTTCTAGATGAATATTGTGGATGTTTTTCTCGTAAATTTCCCTAAATATTTGGTGAATCTTCGATACCAGTCGTAGTTTTTTTATAATTTTCTGCGTAGCTATATCTCATTTACTACCCCATATATATTTTTAAGTATGTCAACATTCAAGTGAATGGTTTATTTCACTTGACGTGGTAAGGCCGATGGTTAGTAGACTTCAATCTGCCCGCGAAATTGTCTCACGTGGCCCTGCGTCCATAGCCTGTACCATATAAATCCAACTTACTATCTCCTCATAAAAGTAAAAGTGTATATGCGAACACTTGGCGTTAACAACCAGGCCGGCCGATATGATGATCTTCTAGGGGAACTGGAAAACCCTGATTCCAGACATATAGGGCACACCGGCTCCAGAATCCAAACGGATCGGATGGTATATAAACTTGTTTCGGTGGTCTGCAACCACTGGAACGCTCTCCACTGCCTTTTGGGTCATACTTGAATTCAAAGGGTTGGGGTGTGGTTCCTTAAGACAAGCGCTTGCTTCGGTCTGGACGTTTGACCCTTGGCACAAACTTTGAGATTCTATGTGGCGAATCTCTTGATGCCCAAATTCGTGTTTCAGTAATACTAGTAATTATTTTGATTTGACACTAGTAACCAGTGTGATGCGTCTAGTCCTGTGATTGGTGTAGACGAGTGCCAATTAGCACGAAACCTAGGTCCAAAGCTTCCTGCCGATTGCCTCCAACCATCTAATACTAGTAATAATTTTTTTTCTCTATATATTCATTTCATTTTAGTAGTTTATGGCTTTTACCGTGTTTTAATAACCATCACTAGTGATTAATTAGACAGTTTATGTTGTGATGTTCAGGTTTTTTGATTGTCTTTGGTGTCATAGCATGTCCTGCGTCAAAAGTTAGTGCTCTAAGTGAATGTCTATAGGCATAATATTTTTAATATCAAAACTGGTGAACTGCACGTCGTGATTCTTTCACGTTTTTTTCTTTTGAGCTGAATTTTATTGATGCTGCAATCCACTACGGACTTTGTCCTCACATATAAAAGTAGTGAATTATTACGTCATCTGCGCGTAATAGCCAAGGCAAACTGTTATACGATATATTTTAAATGTTCTTCGTAATATTGTTTGTCATTGTATTCCTTGTTAACTTTAGGAAGGTGCACTGAAGTTGGTTGACCGTGTTAAAAGTATTTTCAAACTGGCTCAAGGTGAATACGTAGCTCCAGAAAAACTTGAAACAATCTATCAAACCTGTAACCTTGTCAATCAAATTCTTGTTGATGCGAATTCAAATTCCAGTTTTCTTGTTGCCATAGTAGTGCCAGATTTCGATGAATTGCGTGAATTTCTTAGTAAAAGTGAACCTGGTTTGCTTAATTTATCTGATCAAGATCTTTGTCAACTTGAAAATGTCAACCAAATTATTTTGAATGCCCTACATCAAATTGCCGCTGATAAAAAGTGAAAGGATTTGAAAAAGTAAGTCATATAGAGAATTCTTATGATTAAGCTACATGAAGGTCACATTTTGATTAACCCCACAGAAAAATTACTATAAGCTATCTCTCCTACTCCAAATAATCTGGTTTTTATATGCAAGTGATTTTGGATTCTGTATTCTATTTTACCTAGCTTTAAGCAAGCGGTGTATGCATCGAACTTACTTTATTTCAAATTTTCCATTGTAATACTAAACGCTTATGTATTAACGAATGGTCGTCATCTCTTTTCCCATCACAAACTACTTTGTATTCCAGGTTATACTAATCAATCGTCTACTCTTTATGAGGTATAAACTTCATTGTTGTGAATATAGTAACAGAATACACCGGTATTTTATAGTGTCGAATACCCATGAGGACATTAGACAGGCATCAAACACACCTTTCTTATGATTTCATTCTCAATATCTGTACACTCATGTTCTAGATGCATTTCTTTGTCTAAGTTCGCACATTGTTGCATTTATTATTTGATTCGACATAGAGACAAAGGTAAGATTTAAAGGAGGATAATTTTTAACTTGATACGAAAATGTTCACATCTTGGTCATATCCTTTTTTTGTGTTTGGTAAATATTGTTTTACACATTGCGCAACTATATTCATAATCCTGTGTTATTCCGCGGTTAATACACTTGAGACATTTTCTTATCAAGTTGAAAATTATTCTCTTCTTTATATCTGACATTTGTTACAATGTGAAATAAAATAAATTAAAAATATTGTTAACTTAAAAAGGAGAAACTTTACATAAATTACAATTTGTACAGTTATTGGGAATAGAATTCCCGATTTGATGATTTTATGAACTTTTTGTTTACTGTCTAATGTTATAATGTATCCAATCTTAAAATAAGATACAGCGGGATATCAGTACCAAGATTCGATGTATTTGGTCTGGTTTGTATTTAATTAAAAAAATGTTCACAGTGTCATCCTATGATATGTCTGATGCCAAGAGAGTCTAGTGTTTGAGTGTTGCTCAGTAAGAGCTGGGAAGTACATTTGATAAACCGATGTCTAATTATTCAGATAGTTCTTCTTTTTGCGATTTCATCGGTGTAGCCTAAATATTTCGAAATTTAGTGACTAATTTTTGAAAATTTTTGCTTAGAATTTCAACGTGTTACTTGTTGTAACTATGCCTAACTCTTGAAAACATTTCACTGAGAACCCTGAGATAAGGCACTCCGTTAGAAGTTATTTGCTAAAGGCAAATTGCTGAGGTTTCAATACACCATAAATAATACATTTGAACTAAGTGATCTTTGTATTTGTAAAATTTTGACCTCACCTAATTTGTTTTCTTTTTGTTTTGTAAACCGAATATAGTTGAAAAAGATTCATCTAACTCATGAAGCGTTCACAATCGAGAATAGCTTGCTTACTCCGACAATGAAAATTTCCCGAAATAAAGCTAGGAAGGTGTATTCTGAAATTATAAACAAGTTATGTGAAGAAGCCGTGTCTGAGGAAAATCACAAATAATTTGAAGACATTGTTCATCTTTGACTCCAAGAATATTGTTTTCTTCTGTTCTTTTGCATTACTTTATCTCTTCTTAATGTGTTATAAATTTTGTGTATAATACATAGTTTATAACCATCTCCCTGGTTGTCTAATTCACAGTGTTGCTTGTCTTCTCATCTTTTTTGATCTTATTTGGTAACGAGCATATATATATATATATACCCTAAACCATCTCGGATTAGGAGAACAAGCAATTTGGGAAAATGACAAACCGTTTAAGTTACATAAATAATTCTAGTAAAGCAAAAATTCTAAAGACCACCTAGGGGTGTATTCTTTCGAAAGCCATCTGAATTTGTAAGTCATACCGGACTTTTGAAACTTGGAACGATCTTCCAATGAAGCATTCATCTTTTCGATATAGTCACATTTGTTCGTATTTACTGTGCTCAAACCTTTTTCACGTCTAGTGATAAATAGAATGTCATCTGACTTTAGCTTTCTGAGGCATCCTTTATGTTTCTTCGTTAATATGCTTTTCATTTCAAAATTGGCATTATTGTACTGGTAACAACAGTCAACAATAGTACACTTAAATCTCCCTAAATCACATTTAGAGGTCGGTATTAAATCCTGTGTTGTAATAGAAAGGTTTTCAAGCTGGCCCCCTGTCTCTGAGTGACCGATATTAGCCCTTTTGTTGCAAAATTTAGGACGCTTAGAAGTTTCATCTAAAGTAATACTTGAAAAGTTGGCAGCATACCCTTCAATGTCATTGGGAAAATAGGATTCAGATATTTGTGTGTCTAATCCTTTGTCAGTTGGACTCGGATTTTGATTTCTCTATTTCTGAGACTTCATGCATGTGATTCTTTTAAATATATGGGAAGTTCATCAATTGCATTTTGTCTCTGTGACATGTTTCTTTTAAAAGTGATAAGATATGTTTGTAGAGATTCGATCTGATTAAGAACGAACGAATCACTTGAGAGATTTCGCATTAGGGCGTACTTTACAAAAACAAAGTGATTTAGAGAATGATGTCGAGGAGTGGTTATTCTCGATACAGTTCCGGATAAAATCCGCGTTCGTTGTCGCTTCAGTGAGCTTTGCACTATACTTCAAATACTCATTGGGTGCTTTCAGTACAATGAGACGGTTACAAGATTTCAGTAAGTTAAAACACCCCATAGTGTAATCAGAACATGGTGATTTTGAGCGAACAGTCGTTTTGTGATAACTTCTAGAGGTGCTATACTTTTAAATGCCTGTGTATATAATTGTTTTACAGATGCAGCAATGTATGCTCCACCGATATAGTGAAAGAATATTTGTTAAATGTTGAGGAAGTTTTGACGAACAATGGTTAATCCCCGAAATTTATCAAAAAGTAGGGTACATCTGAAAATTTGAAGTTGAAACAAGTCACAGTAAATAAAAAACCTACATACATCCAACTCAATTTTAAAGGCCATAGTACTGGAGGAATAATCGCCAGAAAACTGAAAACGTTTCTAGTTAGAACCTATATTGTAGCCAATTTGGTTCCCGTTTATCGAACAGCAAACTATTTGAAGCATTCGAATGGTGGTACGTATCCTTCCCATGTTAGCTCTAATAGTGTATACAGGTTAGCGTGTATCTGCGGGAGCAGTTATGTTGGGAGAACATCAAGAAGGGCATATCTCCGGTTCTGTAAACATGTAACAAACATTTACTTCTCAACAGAACCAATGATTCGAACCGTGCCTAACATCAACCAAATTATCAAATACACCTTATTGGCATCTCGTTGGTTATACAGTAATAATGAATGCACTAACACAAAAGAGCTAGTTCTTTAAATGGAACTACGTTTTCTATGGAGAATTTATTTCTAGGGTGTGTCAATTGAGGAATTTATCTATTCCACATGTTTTGCAAATAAGCGGAATATTACTTCTTTATCGAAGTGACCCTTTTCAACGTCATACCACAATTTGTCAAACTTCATAATAATAAAGAATATGATATTGCAAAATAAATTCCATATAAAATAACAGGCAGGACAAGGGAAATAATATCCAAAGCACCTTCCAAATGAAGAAACTAATCCCATAATTCGAAATCATAAGTAGAAGATATACGAACCCAAAAGACAACACCAATTAAGTAGCACCGAAAAGTAAGGAAGAATTAACATTCAGAAGCACACACCAATATACATAACCGGAAGGACCTTCCACATAATCCGCTCAAATATTTCCTGACAGTTTACAAGCCCACAAAAGCGTCTCAACCTCATGTGAAATAAGGAAGTCTAGAGTGGAATGGTAAATGAAGAAATTCGGGTGATGATCCTCCACTGATAGGCGATCTGAATAAATAAACCTGAAATTCTCATTGTATGGAAGGAAGGAGTGTGCACTTGTCATTGTATTGGTCGATTCAATGTTCCATATTGGTTAGTAGTGACAAAATTGCTGTCATTTTCACCCTTTCAGTACAACGTGTTAATCAGTTTCATTGAAGAACTCGGTGAAGTAGCATAGCCAGAGTTAATCAGATAACGTATTCTGCATTTACACTCTGGACAACATAGTGGAAAAGTGCTCGAGAGATGGACTGGAAATGTCTGCAATATGCAGCTTGTATGACTAGAAATTAACAAAGATATGTTCATCAGTGCAGAAGCACAAGAATGTGGCTGGAAGTGATAACTCCAATCACAAAATTACTTTCATATATTTTGCTTTAGTAATAAATACTAAGTGAAAATCGTTGTACACGGTTCTCATGAATGAATGCCTTAAGTACCGAAAATAGTCTATTGAAACTCAAAACCCTAACACCTCTATTTTAGATTCATCTACCACCACAAGGCGCCAAACTGTTCTTTGATACACAATCCAATTTGTAGGGTCTATTTTTACCAGTCGACTGAGAATTTTGTCGTCATCCATCTAGTCGGTGAATGGAGATTGAAGATTTATTCTATGCCAAATATTCCTTTCTCCAAAGTAATTTGATGTGCATTATTGAAGCGAATGAATGCTGTTTTAGTAAATGACTTGACTTTGTTGTTGAGTGAACAATAGTTTTGATGATTATGCAACGCTGACAAGTCCTTAGGCATAGAAACGCCGCTTTAAGTCACTGAGAGTTGTATCGCACACACAAAGAAAACACTCAGAGGCGAATTTAATCTTTTCAATCACTTGATATGAGTTATATCACTTCTCGACAAATGATAGGCTTTTAAAAAAAAGTAAACCTATCTCAGTAAAACAAGAGTGTGGATTATTCGAAATTAAAGATTGAAGTAAATCGGGTACAAGTAAGAACAATGCATAATGCATCATTGATATAAGCAGAATGCATCACTTTGATATTCACATCAAAGGCGACTGGATCGATTTACAAACATATCACTTATATTAAAGGATGGAATGTTTCGTCAACACCACTAATAAAATAAACAGTTGACTATACATTCACAAAAATGTTTTGTTATCTAGCCAAATAACGTATTATGTATTCACATATCACATTCCCAACTCATGATATAAGCTATTTGACGAGTGACTTTAAATCAATAAAAATGTTTTATCACGTCACTAATGACGCTTGAATCAATATAAGATGAGCTAGTTGATTTAGCATCTAGTGTATAGTGTTAATAAGTCTGAAACAATGACTTTTCTTATTGTGTTATAGACCCTTGTGTAGGATTGTCGTTTCGACTGTGTATTAGCTAGCTTGTCATCTCACACTGTATTTACTGAGTAGGATTGAAGCTTTTATCAAACTGGTAAACATGGTATACCTGTTTATTGTAGGGTTTACTCAACGCGTCATATGAAGTACTTTCCTTATATCTACATTTAAATAAATATATATTCTAGACGCATACTCTTTCTGCCCTTCTATCACTCTCTGTCTTCCAGTATTTGAGATAAATACTGCTATCACTAGGAGGTGGCTATTATTGTTGTTTGCATGCCTGTGATGATTAGGATTTCATAGAATTTGTGGATCAAATGGTGGTGAGTCAGGTCAGCGACATAAGATAACAAACAACTCGGCGTTGAATTTGGTTTCTGTGATGCTCTCTTAATACTCAGCAATCATCTCTCACCCTCCTTGTTGGAATGCATGTTCTAGTATCATTGTGTCACTCTCCTTGTTTACTAGTGGAAACCAAGCAAATCTACTGGGGAGTCGTTGAACGTCCAGCATTTTTAGCCGGTACTTGTGTGTATATTCAGCGATCACAAGATTTCCTTCCATCAATGTAGTTACGGTGAGACAGCCTGATTCTCACGTTGGCAACACAGTTGGAAACAGCTCTTAAATAATGGAAATTCGAAAGCACTGCTAAATAACTGAGCAAATATAGTCACATATTTTGTCCGTGACTCGAAGATTTCTGATGACTCGACAACACCTGGGTTGTATGTAGATAAGTCTGTTCTCCATTTCCAATGTAAAGTATTTGTTGACAGTTGCAAAAGCCCACAAAACAACCTTACTAAGCGTTTCAACTTCATGTGGAATAAGGAAGTCTAGAGTGGAATGGTAAATGAAGAAATTCGGGTGATGATCCTCCACTGATAGGCGATCTGAATAAATAAACCTGAAATTCTCATTGTATGGAAGGAAGGAGTGTGCACTTGTCATTGTATTGGTCGATTCAATGTTCCATATTGGTTAGTAGTGACAAAATTGCTGTCATTTTCACCCTTTCAGTACAACGTGTTAATCAGTTTCATTGAAGAACTCGGTGAAGTAGCATAGCCAGAGTTAATCAGATAACGTATTCTGCATTTACACTCTGGACAACATAGTGGAAAAGTGCTCGAGAGATGGACTGGAAATGTCTGCAATATGCAGCTTGTATGACTAGAAATTAACAAAGATATGTTCATCAGTGCAGAAGCACAAGAATGTGGCTGGAAGTGATAACTCCAATCACAAAATTACTTTCATATATTTTGCTTTAGTAATAAATACTAAGTGAAAATCGTTGTACACGGTTC